ATTTTTTAAATAATTTTGGATTAAATACTTTAATATTCAGTGTATTAAAAATATAAATGCGTAGACAAGATGATATGGTCATGACGCAAATGCATTCACATGTGCACGCGTGCAAAGCTAAAGTTTAAATGATTTTTGTACACTTCTTTGTAAATGTTGTTAAAATCTCAGATGCATAGAGTTTGTCCTATTTAATGAAGCTTACAGGGAATATGGCACCAAAAGGGAGTTTGGGAGCGTTTGGGGAACATCTGTAACGGTCCCCGTTACAATTAGCACTAGTTTAATTATTGTATATATTACAGGGAGAGGTTTTTCTTAGTTGCAAGAACTTGTAACTAATCCCGTTGTATAAATTATACAATAAATATGTTCAAAACAAATATGTTCTCATGCCTATTTGATAAGCCTTGCTAGTGTTTTCAGATAATGCTGCCCCTAACAACTTGTTTATCTCATGCTGGATATGAGGTTATGGAATTCGATTGATACAGGTTGTGGTGAGGTCTGTGCGTGTGGTGCAGCCAGCCGGAAACGGTGCCACTGGTGACGAGAAATTGAATCAGCAATAATGTAATCATTTGTACGAATGTGAACAGCACGAAAAAATATATTGTTTAACATGCAGTCTAACACAAATGGACGAATTAATTTCATAACTCTACTGGATTTTGAGGACTGTTTATTCAAAACCGAAACCAATGCCGCATTATCAATATAAAACAGTACTTTCTTATTTGCAAGCTGACTACCCCATAAGCTAATGGCCAAAACTACTGGGATAAGCTCTAGTGTTGTCATGTCACGCAATATATCTGAAGTAACCCATTCATGTGGCCAAGGAAAATAGCACCATTGCCCTTGAAAGTATGCTCCACAACCCAGATGTGCAGCACCAGCACTATCTGTATACAAATCTAAAACTAAATTTGATGACCAATCACTTTCATGGAAATAAACTTGACCATTAAATTGCTCTAGGAAACTTAACCACATAAACATATCTTGCTTCATTTCATTGATTAGCTTAATATGATGATGAGGCTTAAAAACGCCATGGGTTGAATCGTACAATCTCCTGACAAATGCTCGGCCAGCGGAAATAGCTTTTTGTAAAAAAAAATTTAGCTTTCCTAACAATGACTGTAACTGACGCAAAACTATTTGTTTTTTTGCTTAAGTATTCATGCAGTATATACTTCAATTCGATACATATTTCATGAGGTACTCTGATTAACCTTTGCACTGTGTCAATTTCCAAACCTAAAAATACAAGACAGTGAGTGGGATAAACCGTTTTGTCATCGACTAAGGGGACCCCCAGTTCAGTACAAACTCCTTGAAATGTTTGCATTAATTTAAGACACGACTCCCTATCCTCCCCTGCAAATATGAAATCATCTAAATAATGATCTAAAGTATCAAAACCACACTTTTTTTTCAGTAATCCAGTGCAAGAATGTTGCAAATTCTTCAAATACTTTGCATGAGAGAGAGCAGCCCATTGGAAGCATTTATCGATGTAATATAGACCCTCAACTTTGAATCCTAATAGGTCAAAATCCCCAGGGAAGATAGGTAGTAGCCTAAATGCTGATTTAATATCTACTTTTGCAATAAAGGCATCTTTAACAACCTTCGCCAACATTTGTACAACTGCGTCAAAGGATGTATAATGAATTGTGGACTCACTAGGGTCTATATAGCAATTTACACTGTTGTCTGCAGGATATGAAAGGTGTGTTTTCAAACGCAACCCAGCGTTATCCCCCCTTGGTACCACTCCTACTGCCGACACTCTGGGATTACATATTGGTAGTTCTTTGTAGGGTCCCCCAACCCTGCCCAATTCAACTTCTTTTTTTTTTCTTTTATTTCTGCTTTGTGTTCATAAGCTGAAATTAAATTGTTATTTTCTATATGTAAACTTGGACCTGAGTAATAAAGTCTGAACCCCTCAGAAAAACCACTTATCAATTCGTTTGCTACAGATTTGTTTGGGTAAAGATCAAGGTAACTCTTTAATATGGGAATTTTAATTGGTGTTTTTCCTAGGACCCAAATATCTTTGTCCATTTCCCCTGTAATTTTGGAAGTGGGACTGAGATTTTTGGTAGGAGTTTGGTTGAGCTTGTGGTCTTGTATATGCATTTCTATATTGTGATTGTGGTTGCATGGACTGGGTTCATAAGGAGTATGTGGGGTTTGATGAGCTACTGGTATTTACCTGGGCTCTTTGATAATTGCATTGTATGACTGAGTGCAAGCCGGTACAACGTGTACACGTGTGCATGTACTGACACGGATATCGACTGCAGGACCCCCTGAAATTACAATCGTAGCAACATTTGTTTACTTGCGTGCTTTGAGTCTGGGGAAATCCAAGCTGATAACTAGGATTCATGTATAACAACCACAGCTCTGAATCAACTAATGCCCAAGAACTAGAGGGATCTATAGATTTCCGCAGACGGCAGTGCGTGTCATATTGGTACCACCCTGTGGCCCCCCTTGAAGCCCCAAAACGAAGTGTATGGATGTACTTTAGCATATCTACTGCTTTATCTGGATGGGCAGATATGTAAACAGATGCAAACATGAGCATGACATCCGTCCAATTTTCAATTGTATATATTTTGGCCACATTTTTGTCCCCCGCTTTCGCGAAAACGAGGGGACATTAAATCTCATTCGTCTGTCTGTCCGTCAGTCTGTCAGTCTGTCCGTCACAAAAACTTTAACCTTGCCCATAACTTTTGATTTAGTGGAGCTATGACTTTCATATTTCACATGTGTATTCCTTGTGACAAACATTTCTTTGGGTACCACCAAATTTGACCTTTTGACCTTGGAGTTTGACCCACTTTTACACAAAAATTCCAAACTTTTACTTTGGCCATAACTTTTGAATTGTAGGTACTAGGACTTTCATATTTCACATATGTATTGTTTGTGGCAAGACCTTTCATTGGATAACAACAACCTTGACCTTTTGACCTTGATTTTGGAGATTTACGTACTGATGAAAAAACATTAACCTTGACCATAACTTTTGAACGGTGAGGACGAAGGCTTTCGTACTTCACATATGTAATCCTTGTGAGAAGACATTTCATTGGATACCAGTAACTTTTGCCCTTTGACCTTGACCTTGGAGTTTTAATTACATTTTAAAAACTTTAACCTTAGTTACAACTTTTAAACAGTAGATACTAGGACTTTTATATTTCACATATGTATTCCTTGTGGCAAGACATTTCATTGGATACCAACAACCTTGACCTTTTGACCTTGACCTTGGAGATTTATGTACTTATGGAAAAACTTTAACCTTGACCATAATTTTTGAACGGTGAGGACTAGGGCTTTTATACTTCACATATGTGATCCCTTCAAAAAGACCTTTCATTGAATACCAATAACTTTTACCCTTTGACCTTGACCTTGGAGTTTTAACTACTTTTTAAAAATACTTTAACTTTGGTCACAACTTTTGAACGGTAGATACTAGGACTTTTATATTTTACATATGTATTTTTTGTGACAAGTCCTTTCATTGGATATCAACATCTTTGACCTTTTGACCTTGACCTTAAAGATTTATGTATTTATGAAAAAAATTTAACCTTGACCATAAATTTTGAACAGTAAGGGCCAGGGCTTTCATACTTCACATATGTAATCCTTGTGAGAAAACTTTTCATTGGATATCGACAACTTTGACCCTTTGATCTTGACCTTGGAGTTGACCTACTTTTAAAAAACTTTTCACTTTGGCCATAATTTTTTAACGGTCAGGATTAGGGTTTTCATCCTTCAAAAAATCAACTTCAGTGTTACTTTCTAAATAAATGACATATGATAGGATGTTCGTATTACACACAATATGTCATAAAAATAACATCTCACCCACAAAGACACCGAAAGCGGGGGACCACAATTCTTTGAATTTGCTTGTCTTTTGTTACAATTTCTCCTGTGGCACTTAGGGTTAGTTTTTTATCAGTATCCCAAGGTTTAGGTGGAAGCAGAGACTGTAATTCTACAAACTGACCCTCAATTATTTTTTGTCCTCCGCTTTCGCGAAAGTGAGGGGACATTAAATCTCATTCGTCTGTCAGTCTGTAAGTCTGTCAGTCAGTCTGTTGTCCGTCACAAAAACTTTAACCTTGCTCATAACGTTTGATTTAGTGGAGCAATGACTTTCATATTTCACATGTGTATTCCTAGTGACAAGACCTTTCTTTGGGTACCACCAAATTTGACCTTTTGACCTTGACCTTGGAGTTTGACTTACTTTTACACAAAAATTCCATACTTTTACTTTGGCCATAACTTTTGAACAGTAGATACTAGGGCTTTCATATTTCATATATTATTTTCTTTGTGGTAAGACCTCTCATTTGATACCAACAATTTTCGACCTTTTGACCTTGACTTTAGAGATTTCCGTACTTATGAAAAAACTTTAACCTTGGCCATAACTTTTGAATGGTAAGGGCAAGGGCTTTCATACTTCACATATGTAATTATTGTGAGGAGACCTTTCATTGGATACAAAGAACTATGATCCTTTGACCTTGACCTTGGAGTTTGACCTACTTTTACACAAAAATTCCAAACTTTTACTTTGGCCATAACTTTTGAATGATAGATACTAGGGCTTTCATATTTCACATATGTATTCTTTGTGGAAAGACCTCTCATTGAATACCAACAATTTTGACCTTTTGACATTGACCTTGGAGATTTCCGTTCTTATGAAAAAACTTTAACCTTGGCCATAACTTTTGAATGGTAAGGGCTAGGGCTTTCATAATTCACGTATGTAATCCTTATGAGGAGACCTTTCATTGGATACCAAGAACTTTGATCCCTTGACTTTGACCTTGGAGTTTGACCTTCTTTTAAAAAAAACTTTAGCCTTGGCCATAACTTTTGAACGGTTCGGGCAAGGGCTTTCATACTTCACGTATGTAATACTTGTGGCAAGGCTTTTCTCAAGAAACTACCAATATATATAATCTATTTTGTCATACGGGGTCATCAAGTTCACTTCCTTATTACTTTTGATTGAGAAGAGAAAGGGCTTTCATATCTGACATGTGCATTACCTTTGACAAGATTTGACACAATATGTCATAAAAAATGACATCCCACCCACAAAGACACCGAAAGCGGGGGGCCACAATTCTTTGAATTTGCTTGTTGTTTTAATGACTGGTTAATGTGCATACCTAGATTATGAACCGAATGCACTGGCACAGTTTCCTGATCGTTGCTTGTTTGGACCTGGGGCTGTACTTGCTGTGTCGTGGGAGTCTGTTGTTGGGCTTGCTGAGGCTGAATGGGTTGATGCGATGGACCTGTCGAGAAAGTCTGCTGTGGTTGGGCTTGGGGGATCATGTAGTGCAGTGACTGCGCAGGTATTGGACCAGGTTGCATTACTGGCTGCTGGTTGACTTGATGATGTATTGTGGCAGCCGGCGATGGATGGGCCTCATGTTGGGTCTGCAGAGGTATTGGAGCAGGTTGCATTATTGACTGCTGGCTCACTTGATGTTGTGTTGTGGCCGCAGGCAGTGGTTGGGCCTCATCTTGGGTCTGCTGCAGAGGCTGCATGGGTCGACTAGATGGACCTGGTATATACGTAGCTTCTGGATGGGTTTGCATGTTAGGGGTTGGGGTTGCTTGAGTTCGGTCCAACAGCCTTCTTGTGCAACCCCGATTCTCCATCGTTGTTTCAGCTGGATCAAATCGTTGTGGTGGTCTACCTTAATTGATCGCTTTGCGCGTGGCATGTTGAGTCCCCCAAAAAACAAAATTAAAACGTTAATTTAAAACAAAATTTGTCCAATTATGCAAAAAAATTAAAATTGACTTTGACATTTAACGATTTACAAATAAAATTCATTTCCCCCTTTTGCCAGTTCAATTCAGGGTCGATAAGCTCAAGGCACTATTTTCCCTCTATAACCTTACCAACTTTATGGGCCAGTATCCTAAAAACAAAATCTGTATTATTATGTTTATTGTGTTTTCCAATTTACATGTGGACCCTTACTCTGGTGATACAAGTACAAAATATATATATATATCAACAAGTTACTTACAATTGAGAAAGTGGTAAAATTAAGCGTTACGCCGACAACGGGCGATAACTCATAGGAATTCTGTAGACAGTGGTATCAACCTTATTAAGTCACGTTTTTAAATTTTAGTTAGCAACCAATTAAAATACTCCGCTGCATTGTTCTTATTTATTCGTTTATTAATTATAAGCTATAAAGCTATAAAATTATTATCAAATACATGTTCGATTACTAGGGACAAAGATGGTGGCGAGCACATGGTGATGCAAAAAAAAAATTAAAATTGAAATCCATCTGACCTAGTCTAAAACCTTTGTATTGTTAACAAATAGATAAATAAGCAGTACAATTTCAACAAATAATTAATAGCAATCAAGGCTTTAGCAAAAATCTATTTTAAATTTCTATACTTATTCGTTTTCTAAAATTTGAACAACACCAACCTTGCAACTAGCGTGTAGCCGGCAAAGAGAGAGTTTGCCGCATGAGTGCTTTCTTTATATACAAGAAAACATTGATGTAGCCATCAATTGCCGCCCGGGAAATATATAAAGTAAACAATAAAAATGAATCTTGATCAACAAACCGCTTCGATGTGTGTAAAAAGTCGTGCGTCTAATTGATGGAGACGATAGATAAACTTGTAGTCGGATAAAAATCAATGAAAAACGATACCATTTTAAACTTGATCAAGATTAATTAAACTTGATTAAATGTTGGCTGCATAAAATATAAATTGAAGTTAGACACATACATCACTTATATTTAAAAATGTATTAATTTTCAATTTTGGAAATATAAAACACTAACTGTGCAGAGTACGCTTTTATCCGAGAAGTAAAATTCGATGTTCTAAAAAAGGGGACCTGTCGTTGTTTCGATAGTAAATGTTAAGTAACTTTATATATTAAATATGAAAAACATATATATTTTTACAGATTTCTTTATGGAAGTAAATATATTATGTAACTCGTAATTTATGATTGGAAAGAACACTCTGATTAACAATCTTTTCAATGTTTAGAAAACCTTTAACTACTCCCACCCCAATCCCCATACACAAACACTTAAACTTATATGTATAGAGCAGCCCGGTCCTCCGGGCTGCAATAATTGAAGGTTAGATAACTCGTGCCAAAATAAGGAGAGGTAACTGCGCCAAAAAAATTGCGCTGACAAGATAAATATTGATACTGAAAAAAAATCTTATGAATTTCAATTATTTCATTTAGATAATATAAATCAAGGAGAGATATTTAAGTTAGGCTATATAATATAGAAGCAATTGAACTTATTTTGAGAATAATAGCAAGCTTTCGTGCATTTGTATAGCTTACTTGGGCATATATTCAACAATTTAATTCAATGACCGTACATTATTTGCCGAAATTTGCACAAGTATTAATAAATTCTAACATAATCTATGACATGTTTAAGGAAGCTCTAAACACTAACAGAAACTGGTTTTTTTTTGGGGGGGGGGGACTCAACGAAAAAAAATCATATAAAGATATGCATATTGAGACTATATCATACATTTAATTTAGAACATAGGGTACGTACCTTAACTGCACGGGGAAAATGTTCAAAGACAATGGAATATTTGTAAGCAGAAATCACTGTTGTTTACTTACATTTGGAAAATTAAAAAAATAATTAATTAAATTTCTTACTCTTGGTCTAATATAATGCTAAAAATGTTTTAAGTTATTACAGATCATGTAATTAACTGTAAAAAAACAATTTCTTTAATCTTACATCTTGGGGCAGATCACTTTAACTTCATAAAATTATCCTATAAATAAAGTTCTTACGTGTGCAGTGTTTAGAGCGTCCTTTAAATATGTGTAAGGAAAATCTATCAAGGCACACCTGAGAATAACAATGTAAGGAGCTGAAGACATGGAACCTTAGGACTAGGGAACGATCGGGGAATTATTTATTATTAACATAGCTTATCCTCAGATTTGAAAGACCTATACAGTTGTATGTCAGATAGAATCGGTTCCATAACCCGATATGCATTTCTATTTAATTATAGTGATTACTAGTATATAAGATAGATAACTCTTCGTGATTGTGAAAGTCGTATTTTTAAAGATAAAACTTTTCTGTGTTACAGTTAATCCCTGTATAGTTACAAAGTGCGTGTAAATTCCATAGAGTGGTATATTTCTTAATGACACTTTTTGAGTCACAATTCCTAAGTGTATCTATCATTTTTATAGTACCATTCAAATGTATTAGTTTCAGAGTCATTTGAAAAAGTGATATCATAATTTGAAAGTATGAATACATAGTAGGAAATGTCATCGATTTTATAGTACATATACCGGAATTCCCTTAAAACCGTATAAACCGAGGTCCCGTGTCGCAATAGGTACTTTCACCAAAAGACCTTACACTGTTCAATGGTCCTAAGTTCCCAGCAAAGGACAAAATTTGCAGAAAAATTCCCGAGAGGAACATTAAACAACATAAAATCAATCAATTTAACATTCATTCTTCAATGTGATTAGTTGATTATAAGTGGTAAGATATTGACTGGCAATTATATGTCTTTAAAATTGAGCATGTTGTTCTTATCATCCTTTCAAATGTTCCATTCATGGGAGACTCGTGCACACACATGAAAATGTGTGAAGCTGGACTCGTGTGCAAATACACAAGCATCTATTACAAATATAATAACATTTTATTTAAACTAAGCTAAGTTCCTTTTATTCTAATAGGCGTTTCAACTATTTTTGCGAATATGTACATGTATATATATTGCACTTTTTTGTATTATAAGATGTCAACTTTGTTAGCCTTTACATAAATGCCTATCAGCCGCATGTATTAAACTGGAAATATTTATTTTTCTATTTTTTTTGATAACTCTTTGAAAGTCCCAAGAGTTGATCATGATTCCCAATATAAATTTCGCCGATCCGAAGGTCAGAAGGTAAGAAGGCCTAACATGCATGTAAATTTTGAGCTTCTGTCTTATGGTCTGACACTAAGCAGGACTAATTTGCATGTAAATTTACATTTCTAGTGAGTAATATAAAGATGATTAACATTGCCCACGAACTTAAACCTCAAGAGGTTGTGTTTTGTTTGATTGATTGATTGACCGATTGTTTATATCTTGTTTAAAGTCCATCTCGAGAATTTTTCACTCATATGGAGACGTCACCGTTTGCCGGTGAATGGCTTCAAAAAAATTTAGACCTATACTCGGCACTCAGGGCCATTGAGCAGTGAGGGTTCTTTATCATGTCAACGCCTGCCGTGATACGGGACCTACGTTTTTAAGGTCATATCCGTACATGTAGGACCCGTGACTTTCACTTCTAGTGCCAGGCGCTTGGCGAAGGAACAGTCTCTACGTTTGATTACCTCTTAGGTATGACGCGGCGCTGCGAACGAGAATCGAACGCTATACCACAAGGCTACCGTTACCGCTTTTATTTTTAGGTCACCTGAGTAAACTCAGGTGACCTATTGCTATCTGTTTTCGTCCGTCGTCCTGCGTCGTGCGTTGTGCGTCGTGCGTTAACATTTAAACATTTTCAGCTTCTTCTCTGCAACCACTTAACCAATTTCAACTAAATTTGGCACAAATCATCTATGGTTGAAGGGAAACAAAACTTGTGAATTTCATGATCCCTGCCCCTCCTGGGGCCTGTGGGGTGAGGCCAAAACCATTAAAACTAATGCAATCTTTAAAAATCTTCTTCTTTACTCCTGGACATCAAGCAGTCAAACTGTTTGCATGATTGTAATCAGCATTGAGTCCTCTACCAAAATTATGAAATTCATGGCCCTGGGATCAGGGGTTCTTGTGCTAGGCGGGGCTAAATAAGTATATGGTGAAAATGCATTATTTCTTTGAATATCTGCTTCTCTGCTCCTGAGTATTAAATAAACCATTGGCAACTAAGTACATAGTTATGATGAGCAAGAGTGCCTCTACCAAAATTGTGAATTTTATGGCCCCAGGGTCAGGGGTTCTGGTGTTTGGGGGGGGGGCTCTATTGATTACATGTATATAGTGAAAATACATGAATTCTTTGAAAATCTTCTTCTCTGCTCCTAGGTATTAGATAAACTAACTAACTACATAGTTATAATGAGCAAGAGTGCCTCTACCAAAATTGTGAATTTTATGTCCCTGGGGTCAGGGGTTCTGGTGTTGGGGGGTGGGGGCTCTATTGATTATATAGGGAAAATACATGAATTCTTTGAAAACCATCATCTCTACTCCTAGGTATTAAATAAACTAACTAAGTACATAGTTATGATGAACAAGAAAGCCTCTACAAAAATTGTGAATTTTATGGCCCCAGGGTCAGGGGTTCTGGTGTTAGGGGGGGGGGGGGACTCTATTGATTATATACAGTGAAAATACATGATTTCTTTGAAAATCTTCTTCTCTGCCCCTGGGTATTAAATAAACTAACTAAGTGCATAGTTTTGATGAGCAAGAGTGCCTCTACCAAAATTGTGAATTGTATGGCCCCAGGGTCAGGGGCTCTGTGTTGGGGGGGGGGGGGGGGGCTCTATTGTTTATATAGTGAAAATACATAAAATCTATAAAAAAAAATCTTCTCTGCTCCTGGGTATTAAGCAGATGAACTACCTTTATAGTTATGAGCA